ATATCGTCAATCGACTTCCATCGAACTTCTGCACAAAGTTAAATTTCTACTTGATGTTGAATTTCCTCCTCTCGCTGAACTTTTGCCTTGCAGGACATTCAACGGACTACTACCCAACGTTATACTTCTACGTGATGCCGGACTTCTACTCTTCGTCGGACTTCTGCTCGTCGACGAACTTTCGTCGGTCTTCTACCCGACGTTGAACTTCTACTCGTCGTCGGACTTCTACTCGTCGACGAACTTTTGTCAGTCTTCTACCCGACGTTGTACTTCTACCCGACGTCGGATTTTTGCTCGTCAGCGGACTTCTACTCGTCGTCAGACTTCTGCTCGTCGACGAATTCTCGTCGGTCTTCTACCTGACGTCAGACTTCTGCTCGTCAGCGGACTTCTACCCGATGTCAGACTTCTGCTCGTCAGCAGACTTCTACTCGTCGTCAGACTTCTGCTTGTCGATGAATTCTAGTCGGCCTTCTACCCGACGTCGGACTTCTCCCGTTAGCGGACTTCGACCCGAGGTCGTACTTCTCCCTGTCGTCAGATTTCTGCTCGTCAGCGAACTTATACCCGATGTCGAACTTCTGCTTGTCAGCGGACTCCTACTCGTCATCAGACTTTTGCTCGTCGATGAACTTTCATCAGTCTTCTGCCCGAGGCCGTACTTCTACCCGACGTCGGACTTCTCCTTATCATCGGACTTCTACCCGACGTCGGACTTCTCCCTGTCGTCCGACTTCTGCTCGTCAGCGGACTTCTGCTCGTCGTCGGACTTCTACCCGACGTTGAACTTCTACTCGTCGTCGGACTTCTGCTCGGCGACGAACTTTCGTCGGTCTTCTACCCGACGTTTGACTTCATCCGTTGCCCGTTGAATACGGTCCTCCTGACTTATGTCGCCCGTCGACTATAGTCTTTCCGACCTCCGTCGCCCGCCGACTACGGTCCTCCTGACTTACGTCACCCGCCGACTACAGTCCTCCGTCGCCAGCTGACTACGGTCCTCCTGACCTACGTCGCCCGCCGACTACGGTCCTTCTGACCAAACGAACATGTCAACAATGACTCTTTGTATTTACATCATGTAATGTACTCCATAAGATGTACATCAAGCTAAGGCCTTCTCCCAAGGAAGGGCTTCATTTGTAATCGACTGCAAATGTTAGTGGATTCGTTCAAACTGGGCTAGGCCCCGTGGTTTTTCCCCCTTTTATAGGGGTTTTCCACATAAAAATCTTGGTGTCACATAAATGCTAGACCCTCTCTCTTATCTGATTGCGTGCCAGATTTTCGTACAACGCTAAGACGATAAACTTTATATTTCTCTACCGCCGCGAATACTCCTGGACGCAACAATAATAATAATAATATAAATTATTTGCATTAAAATATTCCCATCTTTCATTCAATAATCTTTATTGATTTTGAAAAGCAAAAGCAATTCTTCCTGGTAATGATTTGCAAAATACAAAGATTTTCTCCAACCGAATGGCCAAATTAAATGATTATTAATAAGACTTTAAATGTACTGATTTTAATCTCAGATTTGTTTTATGCATATTAAAGTTTGTCCTTTAGGCTTTAACTCGTCAAATTTGAAACTCAAGAAATTTAAGCGTGTTTATCTCAGAGAAATCCTTGGATTGGTGACCTCTTGGAAAGTCACATCAACAAGATAAAATCATGAGGGCCTTAGGTAAAAGCGGACAATATCTCAATAGTTAAGAGCTGGGCTGTTATAAATGGTATCAGAGCAATGCACTGCCGAATGATGGGAACTAAGTGTCATATAAGATAAAGTGTTATGACATAGGAGCCACTTCTTGAATCACGTATGGGATAAGTGCTACATGGCAGGAGTCACCACTTAAACTTGTAAGAGCCATCTTTAAAATCCTATCTGCCAGATAGATGATTCTAGGATAAATTGATGATGATGTTATTTACTTTAAGTATGGGAGATTGTGAAACCCCTTAAGTAAAAAAAAAAACTAGACTCTTAAAAATAAAGGTGCCTTTCGGTGTAATGATTGAAATTTTATTAAGAAAATTTGAAGTTAAGAGTACTCATCCCAAAGAAATTCTGAGATGGGTGGCCTCCTAGAAAGTTACACAAACAAAATGAGACTGTGAGGCCCTCTAGCCAAAGCAACAAAATCTCGATATTTAAAAGTTTGGTTTGTTATAGTAGCTCAGCTTAAATGTTATTGTTACCTGATTATATGTTAGATATACATAGTATATATTATGTATCTTCTGTAAGGAAGTAGATATCAGATTATGGGAAGAGGTTATTTATTGATGATGTTAAGTTTCATTTGAATCTGCAGTATAGGGAAGAGCCCGATAGGATTCTAGAACACGATAATAGAAAATTGAGAAGCAAACAAATTCCAATGGTCAAGGTACATTAAAAAAATATGATTGCTAGAGAGGTTTAAGTGGGAGGAGTCTGAGATGCGACATTTATATTTAGGTTTATTCTAACTTGTTTTGATTTGGAAATATCGAAGACAATATTTTTGTGAGGGAAGAGTTAGAAAACCTCCAATATTATAGTACTATTCAGACCGGTTTGACTCAATTTGAAAGAGGTAATTATTTGAATTTATGTATTTTTGAACTTATTTGCATGTGTTTGGAAGTATTTTGGCATATTAAAAGGTTTGCATGAGTTTTGGAATGTGTCACAGGGATCTAGAATACATATTGGAAAAAATTGGTATTCCCGCTAGAGTGCCTAGGTGTTAGGTATTTTGGCACCTTTGAACTGGATTATAGTCCCTAGGTGCCAAATAGTGACATTATGGCACTATAGTCTTAAAAATTTAGAATTTGAACAAGTGTTGTGGCGCTTAAATAGTAGCACCTAGGTGTTGGGCCAAATTCTGCACTTAAAATACCATTTTCACTCGTCGTTTCATTTGATTTGTTTGGTTAGCCGAAGAAGAGAGAGAAGAGAATTTTTGAGTGGGAAAGAATTTTTTTTTTTCAGTTCGGGTCATTTTTAGCTTCAGTTCACTTGGAAAAGTTATCCAGATAGAGGTAGGTTACGTTTTACCTATCTTAGTATTCAATAATTCAATGTTTTTAGGATTTTTCCAACAAAATTTATATTTTCATTGCTGAAAAATCAAAATATTTATGTATTGTTAAAACTTTCATTTTATATGTAGCTCACTTTGGTCTATTGGTTGAGAGATTTGATTACTAACCAAGAGATCTTGAGTTTGACTCTTGCATATGTGATGTCTATGAATTTGCCTTAATTGGCCTAAATATCACAAAAAAAGCATGGAAAAGCATTATTCGAGGCAATATTGAAAAACATTAGCAATCATAATATGAGAGAGAGATGGGTAGCATTAGAAAGAAAAATTGAGAAAAAAAGATAGAAAGGAGTACGTGGAGGAACATAAATAGTGTTTCCATTAGAGGTGCCAATAAATGATCACATGACTAATCAATCTGATAAAAAAATATTTGAGTTTGAATTGACCTATTTAATAAACGGGTTAAATTCTGATCGAAGATTTTAACCTGTTTATTAAATGAGTTAGATTCAAGTTGACTAGTAAATTCACATTTAACTTGAAAAATACATTGTTTAATATTTTTCCCCTTAAATTCTTTTTCCTTGTGGATCGAATCCGTCGATCCAACCGGTTCAACCATGAATCATTCTTAAGGTCGATCTTGTTCATCCTGAAAACCATTTATGCATCAAATCAGGCTGAGCTGGCCAGAATCACGTTCAATTGGTGAACACGTCGGTTCAATTTTTGAATTACTTAATCAATATAATAAATTAATTTAATATATTAAGAATAAAATATTAAGTAGTACTTATAATTTAATAAATTAATTTTATATTTAAAAAATATATTTTTAATAAAAAAAATTCAAAATAAACATATTATCATCCTTCATAGAGAAATGCAGGTTGAAGAATCTTATTAACATGATTGAGATATGTGAGATATCTTGAGGTTAATTGACCAAATTTATTTGAATATATCTTGAGTTTAAGTTTGTAACCTATTTTATATGTCTATGACTTTGATTGGTTGATTAACTAAAATCACAGGTATTTAAGCTTTAAACATTGCTATCTTTGTCCTAGATAAACATTGAAGCAAAAGTTGCTTAGCGTATTAACTTGAATGTCTAAATTTGATTTTCCATATTTTTTAGTTGGATTAGCTATATCTAAGCCTTGACTTTTGTCATGCCATTACACTATGATGCACTGACACTTCTCCTTAAAGAGGCGTGCAGTGTCCGACACCGTATCCTACATGACACTCATCTGACACTCCTCCAACACGTGTCGGACACGCCAAAAATGTGTCCGATTAAAAAGTATTAAATACAAATTGCACACGCTTGTCCGACACGCGTATCTTAAATATTTTATGAATTTTTTTAAATATAATTTCTAGTATTTGGCGGGATTTAAACTAAATTTTTTATTTCCTATCCACAACACCAAATCAACGTCCGCACTTAATACCCAATCATCGAATATTCTCATTTTCATTTCTTTTTGGCAGTGAAGGTATTTTCATCTTCTCTCTTGGTGACTGATAAACGGTATTGACGCATGACTCTCGACATCCTAATACTAATCATTTTAAGCATAAATTCTAGTTAAATGACTTATTATTTTCAAATTTTTTTTAAAATTATACTTAATTTTTATACAATATTTTTTAAATATAAAAATTATAATACCATGTTCAACCTGTGTCCTATATTTTCGATAACTGACGTGTCCCGTGTCCGTGTCGTGTCGTATCCGTGTCGCCGTGTCCGTGTCTGTGCATCATAGCCATTGCAGCTTGTTACTACCTTTCTGAAGTTCCAGTTCTCACTTTATCTAATTTATTTGTACGCATGTAAAATTAAAATGTTAATGAACACTTATTGAAATGCGTTTATTGCTTATTTTTTGTTAAAACTACTTTTGGAGGTGCTGGGTGTTTTGGTCTCTTGTTTAAAATTCAACCAAAAATAAAATTTCATTCCTATTTTTTTTTTCTATTTTGTAGAACATTAGATATAAAGGTGTGACTTCTATCGTATATTGATGATATTTATTGCAGGTTGATGCTACCAGGCGGGGAGGATTGGCAAGATTTATTAATCATTCTTGTGAGGTTAGCTTAAGCTAATTGTTCCTCATTTAATGGGCCATCCGGGTCATTTTTTTGTGGGTTTTAATGTTTGGATTGCCTTCTTTTAGCCAAATTGCTATACAAAGGTGATAACCGTTGATGGCCAAAAGAAGATCTTTATTTATGCAAAGCGGCATATATCTACGGGTGAAGAGCTTACATACAACTACAAATTTCCATTGGAAGAGAAAAAGATACCCTGCAATTGTGGTTCCAAAAGGTACTTACAGATGTATTCTTCTATGCTTTGCAAGGTGCATTTAAGATGTCTAAAGGTGGACGATGCTGTTTTCAAAATAATGTTATACTCGATGAATGCATTTCATTCTCTGGTCAAATTTCATCTTCAGGGTAAATTATCATTCAATTATTTGCTTTTCTAACGTTTCCCCTGATCTGAGTACCATCATATGGTTCAGATTCTTTTTTGGTGTGACTGTCTGGCAGGTAGAATAGATATTGCTTCTGTGTTTGTTCCTTTCTACATGTGGTTTATAGTCTGGCTTTAACTAAACATTTTAAAGCAAATCACCATTAATAGCTAATGGATGATTGAAGGCATGTTGGATGGTTTAATCACAAAGATGATGCTAAGTATGAAGCATTTCGTGCCTTCTCATCTGATTGAAAGTGTGGTTGCTATCCTGTAATGCTGGATAGCAATGCCTGAGCAGAAATACCAGGTGTAATTGTCATGTGCCAAAGATTCAATTTTTGTTATTATGCATGGTTTACCAGTCGTTTCTTAGGATGCCTGCCTGTGAAGGGCAAGCTGCATGTATATCTGATGCTTTCCTTTTTATTTTATTTTATTTTTTATATCTGATGCTTTCCTTGTGGATAGCAATTATATATTGGAGTGAGGCCCATGTAGGTTGTGTGGATTTATCGTCATCATCACTTCCTGACAAGGATGTCTTTTGATTTTTTAGGTGCCGAGGATCAATGAACTAGAAATTGCATCTTCTTGTGGTCAAGGTTTGTATCAAGCCCCTGCCTTGTGTTTTCAATCTATGAATTCCCATTTATCATCTTGTTGTTTTGAGCTCAAGTTAACTCGGAGCCTCTCTTGTTATTATCACAATTTTTTTTTGACATTACCATCATTAATAGGCCATTGCAACAGTTGAGAACTCATAAGGTGGTCATAATTATTCGTTCATGGTATGAGCTAGGAGAACTCATATGCTGGTCATAATTATTTCTTCAAGGTATAAGCTGATTTATGATCCATTGATTTATTAAATACATATAGGTTAATCATCATTTCATTATTATGTGAAAATGCTGTTCTCTGTTGTCATTTATAAAAAAGTATAATAAATTCACGAAAATTGTTGAGTGATGGTTGTTTGTTTCTCCATTTTTATGCTATTATTAAATGCTAAGTGATTTTGCTGATAAAACCATGGTTAGCACTTGTGTTACGAGGTAAAATTATTCCAAAATATTCCTCTTTTTTTTTTCTTCTTATTTGGAATAAAGAATGCTCTTTTTAGTTGGTAACTTGTAATGTATTTCTTGTGTAAACCATGAAATTAATCATCCTATGTGATTGATAAAGCCAATTTATTGTTGTGACAACTGCCATGGATGATTCTGGTGCCCTGATGCTATAGTAATGGGGGAGACTTTGTCTTATCAAAGTTATATTTCTTATGAGATATAATTGCAAATTGTTGAATGAGTAAAGTTTGATAATTGATCATTGGTCAGGTAATCTATTCCGTGTGTAAACTATCAATTAAATCCCGAAGCATTTTTTGGATTGAAGGAAATAGGAAGTTGAGGGAAATGAAATAAAGTCTCAATAATTTGTGGGTTGACTATAAATCTGCAGCCATTGGTATGATATTTTACCCTTTTTTATACAATTATTTTTTTTACTCAAATTCCCGCATCCAAATGCTTCAGAACTGACAGATAAAAAACCAATGTCTATGGTTGTGATGAAGATGATTGTGTTTCTGAAAATAACACCTTTTGTATTACAATCATGTGTTAAAGATAAATTACTCTCATCTTCCAAATATAAATTACTCTTACCTATGATGGTTCTGTTACTGAAACTAATACCTTTCTGTGTGACAATCATAAATTTCTATGCTGCAAATAAATGATCATGTCGTGTTCTGCTTTTTTTTTAGACATGATAGACTTTAGTTTGGGCATGTACAACTAATGGTGAAAGATGCACCCAAAAGGCATAAAGATAATGTTAGTGCTGAAAGATTAAGCGGGAAAAAAGGGTTGTATGAATAAAAGTTGTGCATAATAAGTGAGGCCTGCAATGCTTTATGGTGCCGAATGTTGGCCATTAAAAGAGAAGCATAATACTAAGTTAAGTGTGGCAGAGATGAGAATGCTCAGGTGGATGAGTGGCTTTACCCTTAGAGATAGGATACGAAATGAGCATATACGTGAAAAGGTTGGAGTAGCTCCAGTAGAAGATAAAATTAGAGAGAGTCGCCTTAGATGGTTTGGTCACATAAAACGACGGCCTTTCGATGACCCGGTTAGGAGAGTAGAGGTATTAGATTTGACTTATGTTAAGAAAGGTAGGGGTAGACCTAAAAAGACTTGGTTAGAAAATATTAGAAATGACCTTTCTTTATTAGGTTTAAATGAGAATTTGACTTTTAATAGAACACAATGGAGAAAAAGGATTCATGTAGCCGACCCCACGTAGTGGGATAAAGGCTTGATGTTGTTGTTGTTGTTGTTGTTGTAAAGATTTTTGTACTTATTTTTTTTTTATTAATAAAAAAGTTTTGAAAAGGAATCCTAAGAAGCTCAGCAGCGTCTTCCTGATTACCCTTTGGCGGTGGCGTTCTGCTTACTCCACCCATCACCTTCCATCCCCGTCAAAATTGTTTTATACTTTTATATTTTAAAATACATTTATTTTAAATACATCAAATAAAAAATAGACGTTTAATTCTTATTATTTTCTTATAAATAAAGCTGCGCGTTCCACGTAGATAACTCTCGTCTTCCACTCCCAATGGTTTTTTTATTCTTAGGATAAGTTCGTCTGACGCCAGGTTCTCCTTTTTTTTTTATTTAATGTTTATCTTTTTTAAAACTAATATATTTTATATAAAACCGTAATAAAATTTATTCTCAAATTTGAAAACAACTCATCTTGTCTTCATGTCTTCATGAAGTTGCTCTCTCTACTAATCCAAAAATGTAATCTTGCTGCTTTCTGTAGTTGTTGCTGAAACGCTTTCTGTAGTTGTTGGGGAGGTGACGCAAGAGAGGGATAGGATCTTGGATGTTAAGAAATTACCCCGAGGTCATCGCCGGCGAGCACCGCGGATGGTTTTGGTCAAGCCGGCGGCTGGCGGCCGAGGTTTCGCATGGTTGCCGCATTTGGCGATGGTGCTGGTTCAGGCCATATATGGCGGATACCATGTCGTCACCAAGGCGGCCCTTAACGTTGGGATGAACCAGATCGTTTTCTGCGTCTTCCGAGATCTACTCGGTCTCAGCATCCTCGCTCCCATCGCCTATGTCCGCGATAGGTATTCTTCCCCTTTTAATCTTCGCAGTCCTCTTCTTTATGTTTCTATGAGCTTTTTTGTGTTTGTTTTCTAAGAAATAGAACGGTGAATATTATCTCTCCGAATGTTTCCTATGAAACAGAAACTGATAACTGTAGATTAGCCACTGTAGCAAGTTTAATCCAGTGGATTCAACTTTCATGAAATCTGTTTAGAATAACTATGCATTCTCAAGTAGTTCTTTATAGGATTTGGTATTAATCATTTTTTTAGTCCATTGAAGGTTGAGAAGTTTGATTAAAGCTTTTAGGTACCTGACAGAAATTTCTCCAATCTGTGCCTAATCCTTGGAATTCTTGATTTTTGATTTAGCTCTGTACTGTATTCATGAATCAATCTGTTTTTTCAAGTCAAAGATGTTATTTATTTTAAGAGTTGGTATTGGTAAACAATAAATCATGTACTGCTATGTAAATGGATTTAGAGTAAGGATTTGTTCTCGCTGCTTCTCCCATGTTTATGTCCGAACTGAGAAGCACTTTCCTCACTTTCTCCATACTTATTTCCGAAGCACTTTCCCCTCTTCCTCCAGAACACGATTTGATGTAAACAAAAATTGATTGAGAAGAAATATGATCTAGAAGAAAATAGAAGAACAAGAAATGCATCCATAGAAAAGTTCGGTAGTTAATAATAAAGCTAAAAATTGAGTCTTTTAGCCACTGTTTTTTTTTTCAAAAATTTTTTTACTAAAATATTGCAGTAAAAAACATTAAGAAAATTATCCTAAATGAAGCCTTAGTTGTTATATATGCTCTTATATTCCATCTCAATATATGTTATTCAAGTTAAGAGCTAGTATGCAAAAACAACTCCACATCCTTTTTCCTTGTTGTAGTCATAAATTGAGTACATGGAAGGTAAATAGATTGAAGTTTAACCTTAACTTGCAACACATTATGTCGATGTGAGCGAGTTGCTATAATGGAGATTTGGATTTCCATCCCCTTGCATGCTGGGCTTCGTACATCATATGACAAGAATTTGATGAATAAGATCATTCAAGATGCCTTCATTCAATGTCCTAATGTACTTGGTCATCCCTCCTCATATTTGAAATAATCATTTGCTTTATTACAAGTGACACTCTCTTTCCTAATAAGTCACGGCCGACCACCCTATTGATTGAAATAAGGTGGTGTTATGGAGTGATTCAAAGTCTTCTTTTATGTTATGACCGATAATTTTGTCATCATATATTATTGTTAAATCTCAGTCGTCCCTTGGCACTTGATCCCACTGCTAGGATGGGGATCCATGGGAGGCTCACCTAGATGATGCCGAGCTCCTTCCATATTTTGGTGGATGATTTAGGAAGGATTATATTAGGGCAATTGTTGAATCACACAGCCAAGGGAGCCCATGGCTTAACAAGTCAGTAATATGTGGGATATATTTATTATAATTAATCATATTTGATTCTTATAATTAATTAGATTAAATGTCTTTCCTTTTTCTGTTTATTCTCCTAGTGTGTACATTTATGTAATGATTCCAAGGAATAAAATAATAATTCAATTTTCTCCCAAATAACTTATACATGGTATCAAAGATTAGGAAAATCTTAAGTCTCCTCTGAGTGCCGGCGAAAAACCTTCCTCCCTTTCTTCCAACCTTCGACTGGTGCTAACTCTCCATCATCCTGCCGGCAACCTCTCTTCAAGCACCGGTAACCCTTGCCCAAAAATCATCTTCTCTTTCAACCGATAAAACCCAATCATGTCCATTGATAGCAATATCTCATCTTCCTACCCAAATATTACCGGTTCAAATATTGAAAACTCTAGATCTACAAACAACTCTTCTCATCTTCCTCCTCTCATCACAAAACACAGATTTAATGGGCAAATTTTTTTTGCAATGTTCTCAATTGGTAAGAATGTTTATTTGTGGGAGAGAGAAAGATGAATTTCTCACTGGTTAAGCTCCTATGCCATCTGACTGGTTAAGCTTCTGTACAAAAAATAAAAAGCAGAGAATCTTCTAATCATGTCTTGGCACATCAACTCCATGAATGTAGAAATTGATGAGAACTTTCTTCTTTATGAGTCGGCCCGAGAAATATGGGAGGCTGTTAAGGAAACCTACTCTAGTCCCGACAACACTTCCGAGCTATTTGCAATTGAGACCATTCTTCATGACTGCTGACAAGAGGACCTGACGATAACTAAATATTTAATACTCTAACCTGATATTTGCAACAATTAGATATATTTGAAACATTGTTAAAATTGCGCAATATGAGGCTCGCCACTGCGCAATTCCACTGAAAAATACCTCGAGGCTTATGCATCGAATATTTTTATGAGGCTTGCGCCTCAACTCAGCTGAGGTCCGCCTTGAGAAGCGCCTTGCCTCATTAGTGTGAGGTAGTATGCCTCGCCCTACTTATATTTTTTATTAAAACTTAATTAAATCTTAAACTAAAGCCCCAAACAAATCATGCCTTAATACACCCCCGATATATAACAAATTCCTCTCGACTGCCTCGACCTCTAGCCTACCACCTTTGCCGCAGCCACCACTGTCGTAGCCACCGTCATAGATCACTTGAAAGCTACACACCACCACCACTTCATCTAAAATTTAGGAGCATAATTAACTCTCATCAATATATTGATGAAAATATTTATGAAAGAGGAAGATGATTGGAATAAAGGATGAAAAAGAAGATTGAGAGGCTTGGACTCAACAGGATGAGGCATAGGAGAGACCAATTTGTTATGGCAATGACTCCCCCCTCACTAATGACCGTGCAGATGATTTCTGAGTTGTTAACAACTATTTTAGCTTTAATTGTGGGTGAGTAAGTGAGAAAGAATGAATTTGAAGTTAAACTTGATGTTATATGATACTTTTATGCAATTCTTATATTTTATGTTATTTATTCTTGGATTTCAATTCTATTTCACACAATTTATCAGTTGTCACTTTATATCATTTGCATTTTTTTTATATGTATGTCAATTTATTTCTTCATAGTTCAATAAAAAGCTGATATGTCATTTTTTAACATTTTATTTTGGTATTATATAAAAATCTCTTTCAATTTTTATTTTCACTTCAGGAAATTACTAGATTTTAAGGCTTATGTCTCAAAACGCCTTGAGGCTTACGCCTCATGAACGAAAAACGCCTCAATACCCAATTGCACAATTTTAAACTTTGATTTGAACAGTATTAATAGAAATGCCTGGAAGATCATGAACTTCATCGGAAGTCTGTAGAGACAGAAAGAATATTTAAATTCTTGATGGGTTGAACAAGAACTTGGATAGCATTAGAGGACGGATCATGGGAACCAAACCTCTTCCAAATCTTCGAGAGGCCTTTTTTGAAGATCGATGGGAAGAGAGTAGAAGAAATGTTATGTTGGGAGGCCTATAAAGATCTCCAAAGGTTGAAGAAGGAAATGCTCTTATTGTCCACAACAATTTAAACCCACCTCACATGTTAAAAATCGACACCAAAAGAAGGGAGGAAGACTATGGTGTGATCATTGTGCCAAACCAAGACATACAAAGGAGACATGTTGGAAGATTCATGAAAACCAGTTGATTGGAAGGCAAACAAATCAGCACAAGAAATTAAGGCAACCTTTGTCAACACCACGTAAGATCAATCCATCAAAGATGAAGCCATTCCTTTCACTAATGAACATTTAGAGATGTTGAAGTTTCTGCTTAACAACATCACGAACCAACAGTCTCCAAAACCTGCTATCAGCCTACACGCTTACTCAGGTATAAAATAGTCAAAACTTTAGGTTATTAACTCAGGAGCATCATAACACATGACAGGAAATATTACACTCCATCATGGTTTAAAATTGCGCAATATGAGACTCGCCTTGAGGCCCGCCTTTGCGCAATTCCAGTAAAAAACGCCTCGATACTTACGCCTCAAGTCTTTTTTATGAGGCTTGCGCCTCAACTTGGTTGAGGCCCGCCTTGAGACCAGCCTCGCCTCACTGGAATGAAGCTTACGCCTCACGCTATATATATTAAGACTTACATAAATCTTGAAGTAAATGCCCGACATTAGACTCTATAGGAGAGGAGGAAGGGGAGAGAGCCGTTCATCATAATGACGATTCAAATGAAGAACCCCTTAGTGATGACAGTGCTGATGACTTATGAGTTCTTATGTGATATGTCATTGCTATTTATTTTTGGAAATTGGAATTATATGTTAATGAAAAGATTATCGGGATTTAGGAAATATAAAATTTTTAGTTGAACAACATTTCATGTTGTCTTATTATTGGGATATTTTGATTTCACTTCATATCTTATGCTTTTTTATGTTTTATATTATTCATCCATTAGTATATAAAAAATTTATCATTTTATGTTTACGCAATCTTTTGATTTTGAGGCTTACGCCTCAAAACGCCTTGAGGCTTACGCCTCGCCTCACGAATGAAAAACGCCTCAATACCCGAATACGCAATTTTAAACATTGCACTCCATGACTATCAACGTTATCATTCAAATCGAGTAGTTAAGGTTGTTGATGACTCAATATCCAGAGTTTTGAGAAATGGTTCCGCTTTTCTCACCTTTACATAAAAACTTTTTGGTTATACTAAATGATATTCATATTCCTAATAATATTTTTGAGGCCTTATTTGATGAAAATTAGGAAAATGCCATGAAAGATGAAATGCAGACCCTGGAGAAGAACAATACCTAGGAGATCACCAACCTACCAGTAGGAAAAAAATCAGTTGGCTGCAAAATGAGTGTTCTCTGTGAAATATAAAGTTGATGGTACATTGAAAAGGTATAAGGCAAGATTGCTAACGAAAGAGTATAATCAGACATGACTACCTATGGCCAAGATAAACACCGTAAGGATCATACTCTCATTAGCAGCTAATTATAATTGGCAGCAGGAACAGCTGAATGCAAAAATGAATTCCTATACGGGGACTTGGAAGAAGAAATATTTATGGACATTTTACTAGGATTCAAGAAAAAATTTGGGGTTGACAAAATGTGTAGGTTAAAAAAGGCTCTATATAGGCTAAGACAGTCACATAAAGCTTAGTTTAGAAGATTCTAAAGTCATGCTAACTCAATGGTTATCGACAGAGCCAAAGGGATCATGCATTATTCTTCAAGCACTCAAATTCAGGGACATCATAATTTTATTAGTTTATTTGGATGATATCATCTTGACTGAGAATGATGGAAATGATAAATTAATTCTAAGGAAATGTCTTGCCAAGAAATTTGAGATCAAAGAATTTGGTAGATTAAAATATTTTCTTGGAATTGAAGTGGCCGACTCCAACAGAGGAATCTTTGTTTCACAACAAAAATACACTAATGATCTTCTTAAAAAAAAACAAGTAAACTAGCATATAAATTGGCACCAACACCAGTAAAATCAAATATCAACTTGGAGGAAGCTAAAGATGATCCAAACGTAGATAAGGGAGCCAACCAGAAACTTGTGGGAAAATTGATCTACCTTTCTCATACCATGTCAGATATATCATTTGCAATGACATGGTCAGCCAGTTCATGTAAAATTCAAAGCAGACTTACATATAAGTTATAGAAAGAACACTGCACTATCTTAAGGTGAACCCAAGTAAAGGGATTCTCTTCAGTAGAGATTGTGGAATAACCCCTAAAGCATATACAGATACAGATTACACATGATCACCGATAGATAGATGATCTAACTTAGGATACTGTAAATTCCTTGGAGAAAATCTTATTACATTGAGGTGAAACAAACATAATGTGGTGGTAAGGTCTAGTGCAGAAGTAAAATACAGAGCGATGACCTTAGGAATATATATGCTACTATGGATTAAGATAATTCTAGAAGACTGATACGCCTTAGGGTTCCCAAGTTAGGGTTTGCCCTAATGCTCTTCCAAAGATGAAATTTCTCCTCCAAATCCAAGAAAAAATCAACACAAGAGAGATGAGAGGAAGAACAAGAACCTTTGCATTCAAAATCCAAGAGAAACAAGATACAATTTGTCCACTTCGAGAAGGACAAGGTCTCCCACTACAAACCCTAGAAAAACAAGAGAAAGAAACTAAGGAGGCTAAGAGAAAACTCAAATCTTGCATGCCCTAAAAATCCCCCCTTAATCCCCACTTATAGCAAGCAAAAGATCAAACCAAACCCACTAGTGGGCTGCCCAAGCTGAACCTCCCAGCTCAGGCCTGACCCGAGCCAAACCGGTCCAGAAATGGACCGGTTCCTCTCAAGCCGACCCCCCGCTCCGCTCCGCGTCTCGCCCCGCGCCCGCGTCACCTTCAGTGGATCGACCCGCGCGGCCTCCTTCCCGGTCGATGTCGCGTGCTCCGGGGTCGCCGGCTCTTCCCCTGCCGGTCGGCGGCGGCCAGCCCGGCTCCTCCTCTGCCGGTCGGAGGCAGTCCGCATCAAAGACCTAAGGATCAAATGGGAATGACCCATAAAGCTACACTATGACAACAAATCAACAATCAACATAGCTCACAATCAGGCTTAGCATGACAAGATCAAGCACATACAAGTGGACAATCATTTCATTAAAAAAAAAATAGATAATGATCTTATAAGTATATGCTATGTTTAATCAAAAGATCAGCTTGCAGACATTTTTAACAAGCGACTTGATAATTCTCCCTTTCTATGACTGATTATCAAGCTCGGAATGAAAAATCTATATTCCCCAGCTTGAGAAGTAGTGTTAAATCCCAACCATCCCTTGACACTTAATCTCACAGCTAGGATGGGGATCCGTACGAGGTTCACTTGGATCGCACACTGATCTCCTTCCATATTTTGGTGGTTGATTTAGGAAGGATTATATTAGGGCAATTATGCATGATTATATAATTATTTATTTCTTTATTAAGATATCTTATATAGATCTATAAATAAGAATAATTTTGTGTAATAATATTAAGCTTTTCCCTCTCCAAATCTCTAAATTTAACAATTATTTTTACATTTTATTATAACTAACCCTATACATATTTTGGACTTATGTTGCTTAGATTATTCATAAATATATTATCACTTCTTGTTTACTCTCTTTTCTTTCTCATTTTCTCATTCGGTTCTCCAAATCTAATCCACTAATAAAAGGTTTAGGTATCACACATGGAGAAATTTGGACGCAATAATATCTATAACAAAAATATTACCAAGTTTGAAATTGTACAATCGGGTATTGAGGTATTTTCATTCAGTGAGGTGAGGTGTAAGTCTCGAGATATTTTGAAAATTAAATTTGATCATTAATTAAGAAAATATATGAAATAATAAGTAATGTACTAAAAGCAAAGTAAGATATCTAATAAAATTATAAAAATTCAAAATAAGGCCATTAAAAATCATACAAAGCTACAAACAACAATAAGTAAATAGCCTCTCTCACTCCTTGTTCAACATTAACAAATAATTTAAGTTCAAATTTTATGAATTCAAAAATCTTCCTTACTCTCATCATTTAGAAAGTCTTCATTAGAATTATTATTATGGTTAATTGCTATAAGAAAATGGATTTCTAACAACAAGATGAGAGGCGATGGAGGAGATGCAACGATGGTGTAACAGCAGTGGTGGAGTAGCAATCGTGATAACATGATAGGATAAGGTGTAGGTGTGAGGGTCTTTTGAGTACGAGTTTGAGGTTGTACATTTATTCTCAAATTTGATTTGATTTGGGTATATTAATAAGTTTAATTTCATATGTAAAGTAAATTAAAATATTAAAATTACCTAAACTCTAATTTTTTTTTAAGTTTACGCTTTTTCATTATTGTGTTGAGGCATGTCCTGAGGCTCCCCTCAATCCCATTGAAGTGTAAGCCTCATATGACAAGCAATAGGAATACACCACATTGCCTTGTTTTCCAAACTGTATTGAGGTGGTATCTAATCATGAATATTACAAAATATTCTAGGAAACTCCTTATCACCGGTCTTTCTAAAATCAAAATATTTATTCATAAATATCTATTTTTAATATTGATTAATATAAAAATAAATTTAAAATTCTAATTGGAACAAAAAATCATAGAATATTTTCTATAGGTATTTTTCATGAACTTCTTTTAGTATTTTTGTCTATTTTCTTCTAAACCAAATAACAAATATTCTCATACTTGAATGAAATGATGTAAGCAATGCACAATTCCCTGAGGAACGAAGAATAACATTGAAATTTGGTATCTATACTAAAAAAATGATTGCAAAATCTGCTAAATGCAACAAAAAAAGCACTGAAAAATGATGCATAAATCAATACAGTTGTTAATATTATTAAAATGCTAGTTGTATATGTTAAATATTTTACACATTTTAAGATCATCAATATGATTTCTACTAATATAAAAAAAAATACTGAAAGGCTTCTAAAAATGAAAGATCAGTGATTTTTCTTTTGCCAATAAAGAATTTAGATGTGAAACCATATGGTCCTAAGCATTTATCATGGCTTATAAGAAAGACAGTACAGGGTTTGAAAGTGGTGGGCCTATGTTTCAGAGGAGATTGAAGAGGTCTGAAGGAGTTTTTATATGCATTATCAATCAACTGCTGTGAAACAATAGGTGAGAAAGCTCTGTTGCTGTTTGCAGGAGTTTGGGCTGTTATGTCTGAGGCTTCGTTTGGGTCGATTTTTTCATTGTTTTTTAAAGCAGTTTTCTAGTTCAAAAATTAAAATTTTTTTACTAAAAAGTTGTTTATAAAGTAGTAAGAAAGCCGTCCCAAACAAAACCTAAATCTGGTGGATCATTGGCAAGGGGTAGGCTAATCTTGCTTGTAATTTTCAAAATCCCAACATTAGTCCAGCAACTTAAGGGAGATTGGGGAGTTTGATCCAAATCAAAAAAAAAAAAAAAAATTATTTTTGAAGTTTTCTTTCACTGAGACAAAGTCAAGAGGCAATTTTTTGAAAATAAATGGTCTCCCATTTAGAAATCAAGATCCCTCATTGTTAATCATTTCACTTTCTTCAGCATAAGAAAAATTGAAAATAAAAGACTATCTGTTAGAGATTGGAGCTCAAAAGAACTTTTAAGTTTTCACACCTTGTTAATCTACTGCAGCAAGTTTCCATGGCAGGGTAGTTTTTGAATGGTATTCCCAACAAGGGTGGAGCCCCCCATCTTTTGAGCCTTGCGCAATTTCATCATTGGTAACAACTGTTCTATGTAAATACAAGGGATGTAATTGAGAGAGAATGTTCATTAATTTGTTTTGTTTCCTTTAATTCTTATTATTTTCCTATACTCTTAGTTTTTATTTGAAATAGCTTTCTTACTGTTTTTTAAAATAATTTTTTAAGACAATTTCCTTTCTTCATAAATTTTTGCACTAAAAATTTATTTTATAAAGTAGTGTGAAAGCTGCCCCAAATGAAGCCTTATTCAAAAAAAAAAATTGCCCTTTTTATATAGGTAACTCATCTTTTTTCTTTGAAGTTTTTTTTTTTCTATAGATTCTTTTAATGTATTCTCTTTTAAAAAAAAAAATTATACTTTTTGGGTAGAAAAAATCCATGCTTATCATGTAATAAAATTCACATAAATATTTAATAAAAATTCTTCTCAAATAAAAAAGATTATCATGCTCAAAATATGTAATTGGCCATATAAAAATATAATAGGAGTTTTAATAAATATATATAAATATAATTGATTAGGTCTTTTTCTATCATTTAAAACGATGATAATCGTCCTTGGGATGGCTCACTCCACTAACACAGATCTAATCTTGCTGCCTTGAATAGTGTGTTGGGAGGTGAAGCAAAAAAAGGATTGGAAATTTGGAAGAGTAGACAATACCCTGAGATCACCGCCGGCGAACACCGGAGATGGTTTTGGTCAAGCCGGCGTCTGGTGGCCGAGGTGTTGCATGGAAGGCGCATTTGGCTATGGTGCTAGTTCAGGTCATAAATGGCGGGTATCTCGTCATCACCAAGGTGGCCCTTAACGCTGGGATGAATCAGATCGTTTTCTGCGCCTACCGGAATCTTCTTGGTCTCTTCATCGTCGCTCCCCTCGCTTATGTTGGCGATAGGTATTCTTTCCTTATTAGTCTTCCCGCTCTTTTCTCTTCTGTTGCTATGAGCTTTTTTTTTGTGTTTGTTTTCTAAGAAATTGCCCGGTGAATATTATCTGTCCTAGTGTTTTCCTATGAAACAGAGTCTGTTAGCTGGATTGGCCACTGTGATAAGTTTACTCCAGTGGATTCAACTTTTATTGATTCTTGTTGGAATCTCTATATGAACTAAATGCTTTTGCAATTAGTTATTCATAGGATTTCATATTTATCATTTTTTTACTCATAGCAAGCTAAAGGTTGGTAAAGTCTGATTAACCTTTTAGGTACCGTACAGATATACCTCCGATCTGTGCCTAATCCTTGATATCATTAATTTTTGGATTGGTTCTGTATTGTATTCATCACTCTGATTTTCAAGTCAAAGATGTTATTTAGTTTAAAGAGTTGGTGTTGGTAAACAGGACTTGTACTGCGATAAAATGGATTTAGAGTAAAGAACTTATTGTTGAAAAATATTAGAACAATATTTTGTATAATATAAAAGGAAAATTTGCAAAGCAAATTATTATGGAATAAAAAATAGCAAGACTATGGACTTGTCATCACTGCTTCTCCTATGGTTATTTCCGAAGCTCTTTCCTCTCTTCCTCCATAATACAAATTGATGTAAATTTTGTCGAAACCACAATCGATAATGCTAAAAATTGATTGAGAAGCTATGTTGCACCAATACGAATATGGCGACATGAATACAACACGATACAAATATGGGACACATCAATTAGTAAACGTACAAGATACGGTACAACTCAGACACAACAATAATTTATAAATCATGCATTAAAATTAAGAAAGCAATCAAACTATAATATTTAAAATGACAAAAAAATATTAAAGCAACAACATAATTAGTCTTGATGCTTATAATATCAAAATAAAAGTACATATAAAATGTCTAGTACAACATTAAAAACATAAACATAAACTGCCTAGTATATAAAGTTTCAACTATTCAGTAGAAGGAATGATAGGATTAGCTTCTTTAGGGATTTATCTTTGGACTTCAATACCATCTTCAATAAATTTCTTTGCTTCCAATTTGGACACATAAGTGAAAATTTTGCAATTTTCAATATTCTCATATCATTACAGGACTCAAATCCATATCCAGTAACATCTCATATCTTGTTATCTCTTTTAATATAAGTTGGAGTATTTCTTGATAGAAGCCAAATGTTTGTATGCACATAAACTAAATCTTCAGCTCGTTGTGGGGTAATTTTATTTCTCTTTATTGATTGGATGAAGTATGTGCTCCAATTTCTCTCACAATAAGAGGATAAAACATGACCAAGATGTTTTATGGCGATTGTTTGAAGTAGAGGTGTTGAAGCTCCATGAATCAACCACCACATCTTTGGATCTATTTCCCACCTATCATGCAAAGAGTCTTGGTCATTGGAGTTTTCTAAATAACAAAAAAATTTAACAAGCTCTATATTGATCATTCTTCTATTCTCGTCATTTGGGAAATAACGCTTCCAATATATATTCCTCATATTTGAAATTTCTAAATATTTATGTGGAGAAACTCATTAAAGATCCTCTTGAAACTATTTTTTACTTGAATTTCTTCAAATAATAGTAAAATAATATAGAATTAGATAATTATTATTCAACAAATTGAGAAATTTATTATGAAAGAAATGTTGAAATTTATCTTGAATTTAGTGAATGAGTCAAACATATAGAGATGCGTTATTTTTCCTCCATCTATCTTCCAGAACAGTACAGATAACACCCTTGAAATTAAGGGCTTCATCATTTGACATTCTCTCATATCTATATATTATTTTTTTATCCTTGCCTAGCATAGAATCCCACATCTCATAAATGAGATGTAAATATGACTTATTTGTATCCATCACTCTTAACATCTCATAAATTGAATTGGTAAAAATTAAGATATATTCAATATCATCTCATCATAAATCATATAAAATCTTCTCTTATACATGCCTTGCTTTTCCAATATCATATTCTCGATAATAAGATCATTTCTCAATTATCACTATACACTAAAGGGCATTTTTAATTTGTTTGAATTTTCTCAATATGACTATAATTAAAGCAAAACGATTTTCAGCTACTACAAGCATCCTCAAATTAGAGAAATCATTGAACATAGAGAGTCTCATGGAGTAATTCATAATAAAATTTCTAATTAAAACTGCATCTTCTACAACTATGATGCACCGCACTTCTCCTCAAAGAGACGTGCAGTGTCCGACACCATGGTCGACACGACACTCGTCCGACACTCCGACACATGTCGAACACGCCGAAAATGTGTCCGATTAAAAAAAATATTAAAAACAAATTGGACACGTGTGTTCGACATGCGTATCTTAAATATTTTGTAATTTTTTAAAAATATAATTTCTTATATTTGGCGAGATTTAAACTAAATTTCTTATTTCCTATCCACAACACCAAATCAACGCCTGCATTTAATACTCATTCATCGAATATTCTCATTTTCATTTCTCTTTGGCAGTGAAGGTATTTTCATCTCCTCTTTTTTTTGCACAATTACAAGTCTCTCTCTTGTTGAACCAGAGTTGAAAGCAGTGATATTCAATGATGATGATATTGAAGGCCAAAAACTAACATCTAAAGCTAATCCTAGTAATTGAAGCTTGAATGCTTGATGTTGTAGTAAGTGATTATTTACTTATATTTTTGTGGTTGTACTAGATATTTTGCACTAAATATATTTTATATTATAAGCTAAACAAGTTATCATATCATTCATTTATTATTGTTTATCATTTTTAATATGATTATATATATATATATATATAAATGTATTGTCGTGTTCGTGCCGTACTCGTATCCTATATTTTCAAAAGAACCGTGTCTCGTGTTCGTGTCCATGTCGTGTCCATGTCGTGTCGTGTCCGTGCATCATAGTTCTACAATCACTGTGATCCAATGATATTCATTGTAAGTAGTTTCATTTGCCTTAATATTGTTTGTTGAATAAATATTCTTCAAAACAATATTAAGAGTATGTACAACACATAGTGTCCAAAATATATAAGAATATGCTTGCTCCATAAGTAGGCATGCAATTCTACAAATTGGTGCATTATCAGTAATTACATGAATGATATTTGAAGGCCTAAACATCGTGATTATTTATTTGATTAAATTAAGAATGAAGAACTTATCTTTATACTATACTTCACCGTTTGTAACTTTAATGAACATAAATAGTTATCTGTTACAACCATGAAGTTGATAAGTGATCTTTTTTGGAGTTATGTTCACCCATCACAAATCAAACTGACCCATGTTATGTTTTAAAAATAATGTATAGTAGTTTAATAAGACTAATCTTAAAAATAATTGAGAAATAGTAAGTCATTTAACTAGGATTTGTACTTGAAATGATTAGTATTAGGATGTCGAGCATTGGATGTTGATGTTGTGTCAGACATCAAGAGGGAAGATGACAATGCTATCAAGAGCTGAGCATAAATATTGTGCAATGGGCTTCAAGTGTTGATGCAGGATAGTGTCAATCATTGATGTCAAGATAGCAATGGGCAAAGATGAGATGTTGAGATGGAATAGGGGCGTGATTGTGGGTATAGAAATAGTTGGTGTCAAGCGTCAATGTGAATACAACATAAGCCTTTAATGTTAAGGTAGTTTTGAAATGTTGATGTTGTGATGACATCACATGTCGATGTTGAGTTGGTATTGTGAAACTCTTGTCGCAACCTGCCAAAGAGATGAAAATGAGAATGTTTGGAGAATATATTTTGAGTGTGAACGATTGAGTTGAGGCTGTAGAGAGGAAATAGGAAATTAAATTTTAATTTTAAATAAATAAAATTTTGAAATGCAAGAAATTATATTTAAAAAAAAATTCTGAAAATATTTAAGACGCGAGTCAGATATACATCTCCAATCTAATTTTAATATATATTTTTAATTGGACACGTCTTAGGCATTTGTCGAAGACATGTCAGATGCATGTCGTATTCGATACGTGTTGGACACTGCATATCTCTTTGAGGAGAAGCATCAGTGTATTATAGATTTTAAATTTTTTGGAGTTATTTGGATGAGTGTACACTAAATATGGATTTTTTTGTTTGAAGTAAAATTAATGCAGTGTAAAGTCTAATTTGATGGTTGTCGGAGGTTGGCAGAATAGGTGTTGGTGGCGGCGATTGTGGGTGGCGACAGGTGACGACTGGAGACATGCAGCGGCGACGGCGGCAACAACAATGATAGAATTTACATTGCATTTGATAATCGATCAAATCTAACAGTTTTCAAATACACCAAAATTGAATTTGAGGGTGAATTCCAAATAATTCAAAATTTTATTCTTTATCTCTTTTACTTTAAAATAAACACTAACATTTCAAAAATCATGCATTTGAAATACTTTAAGCCAATTTTACTTTAAACCAAAATGCCCTTAAATCAAGATTGAAGTCATGCCAACTAAATAAACTAACATAAAACTAAGAAATAAGATAAACCCTTTCTCAGCTGATAAAATACAATCCTTCTCATCCATCATCACTAGCATCCCTCAAATACAAAATAACAAATTAAAAAAAATGCTAATGAAAATAAATACTTAAACTGCACAGAAATTAGTTTTTGCACGATGCATTTACTGCGAATATATGCGAAGATTTTCATCAAAATTATTTAACCGTATTTCTAATATTAAATTTTTTTGGCCTTAATATATTGATTCAATGATTCTTTGTTTTTGTTTATCGTGGAAAAAATAAATGAAACTTCCTCTTGGTTTCTATTATTTCCTTGTACCAGATTTTAGCTTTAGAAGCTTGTTCATTAGCCTTCTCTTGTTCCACCTATCTATTTCTTTCTTCTATCTTAATTTCTGCAATAACATGTTCCAAATTCATGGAGGTTGATGTCATCATTTTGAGTTTCACTTATGTGCAAGTAAAGTTAATAAACATAAAAGGATATCTCCATTGTGTTAACCATCCGTCTAAAATATATTTCTTTGTTCTAATATTTTCAAGAACATATTTCTTTTCTAAGGTATTCTACATATCTATTAACAGCAAGATTGAACTCATAATGCATATCAAAAAGGATGTTGGAAAGTGCATTTTAAATAATAGGTTTGCAAATCTTGTAAATGGCTGCTTTCCATTTATTTAAATTTTCATGATTTTATTCAAGTAGAGTGTTAAGCACGAATTTACTGATATTTTGATAATGAACTTAACCCTTAGTCTGCCACCTATTAATGTTTTGTCCAATGAATGGTTCTATTTTAGTGACATGGAGTGTTATCTTAGCAACAGTAAGTATAACAGAGTTCGTAATCTACCATTAAGATTGTTGGTAATAGTACTTGCATGATGTTGTAATGTAAATAGGTTCAACGGAAAAAACATATCAGTATAGTTTATAGCATGTGAAGCAATGTTCTTAGAGGTAGATTTCTGCTCCTTTGAGTGATACTCTTGATGTAAAGAATCCTCAGTAGTTTACTTTGAAGTATGGAACTAAACCTTTTCCAGTAACTTTAAGGAGAAAAACGTGTGATTTTCTTATTGAAACATTGACTAATTTATGAATATATGCAACAGTTGGTAGAGAACTTTCTACAGCTTTATCACTCTTATTTAATCATGATGCTATCTTTACTTCTCATGATGCAGTTTTATTTTTTTTGTTTTTTTTTATTTTACAGAGGGGCCCGACCTCCACTGACAGGCCGACTTCTCCTGTCATTTTTATTACTTGGATTGACTGGGTAAGCATTTGATTGCCCCAATTCAAATGTATTTGGAATTAATTTCATGTGTTTAACACAGGTGTTGCTTTTTATTTCCCTTTTCATCTACTAAATACATCTTATTAACTTTCTTGTTGATAAGGATTTTGGGCAATCAGCTTTTCTTTATTCTTGGTCTTGGATACACAAATCCTACTTATGCTGCAGCTATGCAGCCATCAATTCCTGCTTTTACATTTATCTTGGCTTCAATTATGGGGTTAGTCTGGCGCACTCAGTTTTGCACTAGTTTGAGGTTTTGTTTGGGACGGCTTTCGAAAATTTTAATTTTTGTATAAGAAAGCTGCTTTAAGAAGCAGTAAAAAGCCGTCCCAAACAAAGCCTGAGTTACCTTCCTATGGAAACTCGTATCATTATTATTATCAGTTTTATTTAAAAAATTAAAGGTCTGCACGCATAAAACTTATCTCTTGGTTGTTAATTTACTGCAGTGTGGAAAAAGTCAACTTTCGTAGAAAGGAATGTTGGATTAAGGTTATAGGTACTTCTGTTTGCATTTCTGGTGCTGCGGTGATGCTCACTTATAGAGGTCCAGCTTTATTTGGCAATGGCGTAGACCATGCAATGCTTAATGAAATGATCATGGGGTCTCAATTGGAGCATGCAAAACAGTTGGGATCTAATTTGCTAAACTATCAGCTTGGTACGTTGTGCCTGATTGCGAACTGCATAAGTATGGCTGCTTTTCTAGTTCTGCAGGTAATGGAATTCAGAACCTGTAATAAACCTATTATTGGTAACCTTTTGTGCTGATTTGATTATGATTACTGCATTGTAAGTGCGAATTATCCGTCAAACAATACATTTAATAACAAAGGGAGTATCCATGTACGAGGATCCCTCTTATATGGGACCCCATATAATTAGGGTCCTTCATGATTTGAACTGTGACTTAGGCTTCGTTTCGGATGGCTTTCTTGATGCTTCTTAAAGCAACTTTTTAGTACAAAAGTTTAAATTTTTATACTAGAAAACTGCTTAAGCAACTTGAAAGCTGTCCCAAACGAAAAGCCTTAGTCAACAATTATATTGAGGACAGAGTATTTGGAAACTAGCACTATAGTGGTGGGCCTTTTGCTCCCGGAATCAACAATTATAGATCTGAACGTCATTCTAGCAAGATAGCTGAATGAAATATTATTTGCTTAATATGTGGTGACCGGTAAAAATATTTAATATTTTGGTTGCATATAAGGTTTACCTCTTTTAAATTTAAGTTGGATATCTATTTAAAAATATTTTCAGTGTTTACTGTAGACAAGCTTCTTGATTTTCTATTTTGACATTTCAGGCTCCAGTTCTGGTTCAGTATCCTGCGACATTATCATTAACAGCATACACATACCTTTTTGGGACGCTTTTGATAGTCCTTACAGGATTATGCACTTATCGAGATTATGCAGACTGGATGTTGACAAAATCAGAGATAGTTGCAATTATATATTCTGTAAGTTCTCTAATAACATCAGCATCTTTGGCCGAAGTTGTGTTGTAAACTCTAATGTTTTTAATCTAAATAGGAGGCTAAATTGGTCGCGATAAAATCTGAACATTCTAACCTGTTTGATTTTGGTGCAACTGAAATGAAAATTGGAGAAAAAATTAATAAGAATTCTTGTATTCACAACCTAGATTTTTACCTTCTTTGGCTTGATAAGGAGAGAGTGAGGGAGTGAGTGTGTGTACGTGATGCAAAAGAGATTGTGGATATAAAAATTTTTAGCGCTTGTTTCGGCTTAAGGGAAATAAAAGAACAGAAAGGGTAGGATACATTGCCATCAAATCAATGGAAACTAATTTCATCTTCCTTCACTTAAGAACTGATCAGTTTGGGAAGGGGGCATATTGTTAATTTGCGGTGTCAATCCCCCCTGCACAAACAAGAAAAGAGATAATTAGAGATTCAAATAAATATTGTTGGAATGGTTTATATTCACACAAATTTGAACCTATTGCTTTTCCTTCCTAGCGGGCCCCTCCTTGATTTGAACTTTCACTTGGGCCCCACCCCAAGGGGGGCAGAAATTCATCTAGGTAGGCTCTATTCCGCCTAGCGTAAACTTTGGCCGGTCTAGGAGGGACCGGCCCATCCTTGACCGGTCCAAGAGAGACTAGTCCATCAATGTCATAAAGGATTGCATAAAATTATTCATGCAAATTTCATAAGCACTGTCACCAATAAAAAATGTTTAGTTTATTTGTTTTATTTATTACATGAAGAAGCTTGAATGGGAAATGATAAACCGTTCTTATTTATAGGTTTTTTTTTTTAATGTGCATGCTTTCTATTAGTCGAGATAAATGAGACCCTAAATTTAAACAATATAATTTCATTGATTATGGAATTAATTAAACAATTATTATAAGCAGTAATATTATATTCAATGAAAATGTTATACACAGTCAGTTTGAGCAAGTGAATATATTAAGCTTGAGGAGAATTTTGAAGATATCCCAGAAAATAGTAAGATGACTCGTTGGAACATTGAGACAACCGTTTTTATTTTTTTAAATTTCCACTTGAGGTTCTATAAATAGGGGGATTAGGGGACCTAAATATTGTATTTAATTTTTCTGCTCTTGCAATGAAAAGAAAGAGGATGGTTGGATACCTTTGAAGAAAAAGGTAGAGAGAGAATAATAAAAAAATAAGAGTGAGAAAGAAAAGAGAGAGGGGAATAGTGATTACTTGGCTCCCTTGTTTCTAGCTGTATGATGAAACATTTTGGCTTAGTAAACACGTGCTGGTACTGCAGACAAGGATGTTAGTGATGGAGGCCAGTTCAATGGCACCAGAAATCTCATTGCTATGAGAAGCAATCATTATTCAAGGCTTTTTGATATCTTCTCCTTCAAGCTTCTTACCTTAATATTTGGTTTTCTATTATTCTCTAAAAATTTAAAGAATTGTGCGATAAAAATTGATCTCTTCTCTATAATACTATAAATGTTTTTCCATGCATCCATGGACATAAGGGAGATAATATTTGCTGAATTGGACAAATTTTTGCGTCTTCTGTTTTAAGTTTGCTAGGTTTTTGTTATTGTTTTCTCTATTACTTTATATTTTTTCTTAACAAACCTTACTTTCCTTACTTGTTAGAAGCCCTATGGGTGTACATGAAGCGATGAGTCACTTTAACGTAATGGAATGGGGTTTTTGAAAATAGAGTGTCCTGCTGAACTAATTTAATATGCTTCGTTATGATTTTATATTAAATATTGTTTTCAATGTCAACCTGATTAGACTGCAATCCAGATCCTCAACCAATAGGTTCAATCCACATGCTCTATTCTGTTTCCAAATCTTTGATATGCTCATTGGATTAGATGAAGGCTTTGTTTGTCCTCATTTCACTTAGAAAATTTTTGGTGTTTTTTGTAAGCAGTTTTTTTAAGTTTTGCATGCTCACGTATATGGCGCATTATTAGGTCAGGTCACCAGACCTAAATCTGTGTCCGAAATCCGTGCACTTTTCATGTGCTTTTACTGCGCTTTTGTTGTATTTTTGCAAAATGGCAACTAATACACAATTTTAATTATATATTAGTTACTTTTTTGTTGAGTATTTGCAAAAATAAAATAAAAAAGGCAGCAAAAGTGCAACAAATATCTCACTCATTGTGTATTTGGTGCCCTTTTGCTGTGCTTTTCAAATACTGGGCAGCTAATATGCGCATATTAGCTGTTCTTTTGCAAAAATATATCAAAAACACAATAAAAGCGCATGAAAAGCGCATGGTTCCAGACGCAAATTTAGGTCCAGTGACCGGGCCTAATAATTCGCCCATGTATATATACTCTCTCTCTCTCTCTCTCTCTCTCTCTCTCTCTCTCACACGAGCAATTATTAGGTCCTTTCACTGGATGTAGATGAAGGTTCGGTTTTAGTCAAAAATAGGTAAAAAGTGCAAATACCGAGTTTTTTGAAAAACTCGGTATTTTTTCAAAAAACTCGGTATTTGCACTTTTTTAGACAAAACCGAACCTTCCTCTAAGTCCTTGCACCGGACCAAATAAAAACTCCTCTCACACACACACAGACAAACAATAGATAAACTAAGTTTTGTCATTCGAATTGTGTGCGTTTTTTTAATGTTTTAAAGGTGAGTGAATTAACTGTCTAATTTATTATCAAATATAAATAAAATTTCAACCATATTGGCTATGCCTGATTAAAAATGTTGTGTAAGATTGAAAGCGTTATATATGCTACATATAACTCAATTAAAAACCCCGGTAGATCATTGTAATGAGCATTACCCTTATCTCAAATATTTGGTGAAAAGCCTATAGATGAATTCTTCTCCATCATAAATTCTTGATGGATGCTACTTGATGTATTAATACAGTTTACACTTTTTTTTTTATTTTTTTGGCTTTATTGTTTGCTATTTTACCTTTTAGGGTTTAGGGTTTAACAAGTCCAATGCAAGTGATTTGAATGCTTTCTCATTCCTTTACTTCATTCAGGGATTTCTTTCATCAGCTGTCAACTACGGGCTCATAACTTGGTCCAATAAAATGATTGGACCAGCATTGGTTGCACTATACAATCCTCTACAAACATTCATGTCTGCTTTCTTGTCAGCAATTTTCATTGGGAATCCCATCTTCCTCGGAAAGTACTGTACCCCAATGATCCCATTCAAATTCATCCAAAATGTCAAATTTCTGTACGTTTAAGTTTTAAAAGCTTCTCTTATCTTATTGATCGCAGCATTTTTGGGGGACTTCTCATCATCTGTGGCTTATATCTGGTCACCTGGGCTCGTTACACAGAGAGTAAGGACACCACCAGGGCAAAGTCTTCTCAAGACCTGTTGTCAGATCCTCTTCTTCAAGAGGATGATCCATCATCCCTACCAATACAGGTAAGTTCATCCATGATTCCATTGCTTATAATCATCATATCCACGAAATTCTAGCTAAGATTTATTCTCTCCAATATCTATCTACTCATCAGATTACAGGCGGCAGTTTGAAGGAAAATGAAGAGGGCATTTCATAGTTCTTCATGTTAAGCTTCATCTATCTGTCCAAATCTGTTTGTTCTGCTTGCTTTTGCAGCTGTGTAAATTGGAAAACAGGTACAGTTCTAATATTGCCTCTGTATTATTTTATTGTGCGCATCGTTTGTGTACTATGTAGAAAAATATTTGTTTTATATTCCAATGTTGATCATGCTTTATTTCGCGTTCATAATGATATCATAGGCACATCATACAGATGTAGTTCCATGCTATTAAGGTTTTGATATTAATAAATCTATGGGGCATCTACTCATTTTTCCACAGTTGAATAATATCAAGGTTCCTTTTTATTAGTTTATAGAGAATTTTGGTGCCTGGCTGCTGGTAAAGCAGATGTGTTTTGAAGCTGGCCATTCAATAGTCATGTGTATGGCAATTTATTGAAAAGAAATGTAGAGCAATATTTTTAATTATTTTATATTTATAATCTAGTTTAATTTTAGTGCATTTTGAAATGTATTAGATTTGAATTTTATTTGGGACAATTTCTATACTACTTTTTAATGCAGCTTCATAGTACAAAAAAAATTTGAATTAAAAATTTTTATACTAAAAAACTACTTTAAAACCGTTCCAAAAGAAGCCTTGGCCAATTTATAAATGCACTATTGCTATTATCACTTGCTACCGTTTGTCTACTATCGTTCACCTTCGGTGTCTATCGCCTATCAACTACCACTATCATCACCACCTCCCATTACGATCCGCCATTTGTTTCCTTTCATTAGGCACTTGCCAGGGAACAATTATTAGGTCAGGTGACCTGACGTAGCTCTAGGCCTAGCTCTACGTTCGGACGTCAATAACATGTCGCCATGTGGTCTTACTCAATACCGCGGGGCCCGACGATTTGACCTGGGATTGCTATGTTTGCGAATTGCTCGGTATTGCTAGGTATTGCTTGTCAATAATGAAAATTGTTGCTCTGTAAAGACCAATACAGAAACTCGGTATTGCTCGGTATTGATTTTCACAGAATGATATTTCTCGTTATTGCCTAGCAAAATCGACCAATACCGAGCAATACCTAGCAGCACGCGAACATAGCAATCACGTCTCCGTTCCGGGTCGGGGTTGTCGACCCACACAGTAAATAGTGAGAACACGTGGCACTATTTTACTGGCGTCCGAACGTAGAGCTACATCAGGTGACCGGACCAAATAAAAGTTCCTTGCCATGATATTTTGCTTCGGATTCATTTTACTTATACAAGTAATCACCAATTTTAATTTTATACTCATTTAATTTTATACTCATTTATTTCAAATACAATACATTGTATTAAGCAAAGCAAATGGCCTTTGAGTGTAATGCTACAACATACTAACTTTAGCCTAAAAAAAGTTACTGCATATGAATTGATATAAAGTGATTGCATGCAATAAACAGTAATAGATTATTATGTTTTCTTTCTCTTTATATTTTCATTTACCAATTGAAAATTTCTTTTCTGAGAACACTAACTCCATGGTGATAATTCAGTGACTTAAATATGCTAATGCACAAATATATAGCTCAAGCGAGCTAATTTAAAACCCAAATAGAGATTATTTATTAATGGTATATATTAAATTAGAAGACGGCATTTACATAATGTGATAGATGCATGCAACATTTAATAGTTAGACAGTAAAATTATACTATTATATATTTTTTTTTATTTTTAATATGTCATGATATAATATGAATATTACATATTCTAAATGTTTAATAATCATGCCATATATATAATTATTTATGAACTCATATTATGTTATTATCTTTAAATTTGAAGCTAACAAATGATATTATTTAATATTTAAACATTATCTATGTTTTTATTTTAAAATTCAAATACATATTTAAATTTTATTATTATTTGACTCCAATTAATATTTAAGAATCACTTTCTATTTGATATCTTCATTAGAGGTTACAAAATTTGAACTTGCCTTGAAATTGGAGAGGAGAAATATTAAGGTTAATTATGAATGAGAATTATGGCTTTATAAACTTCATCATAGTCATTATTGGAGAAATATGCCTTTTGTTTGTTTCAATAAGAAAATATGCTTAAATGTTTGTTTTTTATAAAGATGTCTTCTATATTTGTGAATTATTTATTAAAGGCTACCGCGAAAAAAATTGGTTTAAATATATTTGAATTTGAATATGAAATCGAATCTAATAGTTCAAATGTGATTCAAACCAACAATTTAAAGACGTCAACAACAAAGGGATTTCACCATGTGAACACTTTGGAAGCTTGTTGATGGGACCAACAACACGTGATGAGAAAATGAGTTCGCGATGACAACTCTTTGGGAGGTCACCAACTAGACTCATGGTGTGTGGGAAGATGTGAATTTCATGATGAGGGCTTGTTAGTGCCTTGCTAATTGAATTTATTGGATGTCCGAACCTATTTCTAGGTCAGGTGATCGGACCTAATAATTTTCCGTGAGGAGGCTTCACAATGGGAGCTTAGTGAAGACTCGTTGATGGGACTAACAACAAGTGAAGAGAGGATTTCATGATAGGAGCCCATTCGCATCTCATCAATATTACCAAGGAAGAGGATTCCACAATAAGGAAGAGCATGGAGGAACTTTGTTGACAGGACCAACAAAATCTGACAAGGGGATTTTGCAATGAGAGCTCGTTGGGAGCTCCTCGATGGGATTGAGGATATGTGAAGAGAATAAAATTTCATAAAGGGAGATGACTAGGAACTTGCCTATGGGATTGAAGATGTTCGAGGAGAAAAGGATTTTGTGATAAGAGCTCATAACCCACCGATGCTTAGTTTGGTTTGTGGGCGAGCACGGTTGAAAATCCTCCAACCGGTGTTCGATTCCCCTCGAGCGACATCACCATTTAAGTAGGGTCCCAATAAGTACGAGCCAAGAGGTTATATAGGAGTGGGTGCCTCTTCTAGGTTAGCCAAGGGATTAGTTACACCGCCAAGCGTCTCACAAGCTGAAATAGCAGCAGGTAGATACCCCCATTCTTAAAAATAAAATAAAATAAAGAGCTCATAGGGGAAATCAATATTTGAGAAAAAAAAATATGATTGTTGTGAATGGAATCCCTAGATTGATGATGCGCAATGAGATTACTAGGAAGGCATCATAGGATTGGCATGCATGAAGGAAGATTTAAACTAGCAGTTCGACAAACTTCAAATCAAGTTCATAAAAAGTCAAATTCAAACCATTTCAAATCAAATACATTTGCAACAAACTTCAATAAACAGTTCGCTATGCTATACAAAAGGGGGTAATTTTATCTAAAATTAAATTTAAAAAAAAAAAAAATCATGTATGAAGCTTGCAATTGAAAAATCACATTTCTTATAAAGGAGCATTTTCTATTAACATTTGGATATAGTTAGTAAATATGCGTATTTCTTATATTAAAGTTTTTTTTGGAATATTTAGACTAATTGAAATAAACTCACACACATCACATACACAAAACTCGATAAACTACTGAGCCAAATTTAAGATGACCACAACTAAATTCATTAACTCATAAACTAACTTATTTAATAAATATTAATATAAAATAAAAAATATATATATTAATACTTATAAAAGAGTTTAAATAAAAAATTCTTGAAAATATTTAAAATTATACATCACTATCATATATCGAATAATTTCTCATCTAATTTGTCAAAATTTTGTCATAATAAATAGTTCAAGTGAATTTTAATTATTTCATAAAAAATTTAATCAGCTCTTGAGCTAATTTAAACTTATAACATGAGCTCAAACTCAACTCGAACATGATTAATTAATCAAACTAACTAATTTAAACCCTAAATTCCCATTAGGGGCTCTGGCCAAACCAATTAGAACCCTCACCTGTGCCCTAATTCCGCCACAAATTCCACAAAATAATTCAACCAACCTTTCACCTCTCAGGCACCTCAAGATTCCACAATAAAATCTATAACCCTAACAACACCCCAGCCCATCCAAATTCATCTTCACATCCTCTCAAATCATTACAAGAAAGAACTAGCCAATGTTCAATTAAGGTTTTGTTTGGGACTGATTTCTTACTAATTCTTAAAGCAACTTCCTAGTAAAAATTTTTTCATTTTTTTAACTAGAAAACTGCTTTAAGAAGTAATAAAAAATCGTCCCAAATGAAAATAAAGTCTATGGCTTCATTTGGGACAACTTTTTTATTGCTTTCTAAAATAACTTTCTAATATAAAAATTTTTATACTAGAAAGCAGCAAGAAAATAGTTAAAAAGTTGTCCCAAATAAAACCTAAAACACCACGACCACCACCCAATCAATAACTTGTTACTATTACCAATAGAGATTCACCCAGAAGAAATAATATCAGAACAACCTTTTTTTCCTGGATCTAAAGATGGACATCCCAATAGATAAAGATATAGCAGATAGAACTTTAATGATCACCTCAAAATGAAACTAACGGTACGATCCAGCAAAGACAAGGCAGCCATGTTCATTTGGGTTCAAACCAGGTAAAGAAAAAATAGGCGAAAATGCTCTCAGGAATGCACACATGAGTGTTGTATGATTTCAAAAGCATGGAATGGTCTTATTTACTAATCCTCATTCTCAATTTATTCCAATTGAATGTTGCTTAAGAGTTGAACTTTGTTTTGAGCAAATCCTATGAGAACTTCTATCCATTTTACCTCCATGTACAATTCTTCCAATCATCATATGTGCCAAAGCTATCTAATTCATTTCCTCCTGCCTTATTTTTAAATAAGTCTAGAAGTGTTAAAAGCACAATCTCTCTCATATAGTAGTTTCTCAACCTATCATTCATTCTTTCTTTTCCATAAACTTTAATGATCACCTCAAAATGAAACTAACGGTACGATCCAGCAAAGACAAGGCAGCCATGTTCATTTGGGTTCAAACCAGGTAAAGAAAAAATAGGCGAAAATGCTCTCAGGAATGCACACATGAGTGTTGTATGATTTCAAAAGCATGGAATGGTCTTATATAGTAGTTTCTAAACCTATCATTCATACTTTTTTTCCATAAATTTACCTCTTAGCAATCAATAAATTGTTTGCAGCCCAACACTTTGATCCATAATACATAGCTGATAAAATCACAATTTTGTAATATTTACACAACTCCCTGCAAAATTCTCACAATATAATGAACCTGAAGAACTTGACAATTTTAACCCGCCGACCTTTACTATCAAATTTATATCCTATAGCATAATTGTTAGCCCCATGAGCCATGGTGTATGGAGTCATTGGATTTTGATGATAACAAAGGTAATGTTAGATGCGACTAATAGTTAATATGAAGTGCATTTCAAGAAACAAAATCACCAAGCTGGACTTACATTAGTTTAAAACTTAAATATTGAAGATTTGGGTATTTGTTTTCTAAACCTCAATATATCAAATGAAATAGCTCACATATAAATAAAATTTGCTAAACTTATGCACATGGTTCTTTCAAAATTGATTCATGATTATTTAAATTTATATATTATCAATTTAACACTAATTTTGAAAACATTGTCATCTTACATTTCTCACTTATGAACTAGCATCTAACTTAATCTAATGTTCAATTATCATTCATTCATGAACACATATTTTATTATGGCATACCATTCTACACTATTTAATTTGGCCATATAAATTAAACTAAAATTGATTTTTCAAAATTATTCAAATTATTCTTTATAGAAATTCAAAACAATAATTTGACCATAACTTCTTATCAAGACCAATATTATCATTTTTTTATTTAAATTAAACAATATATTTCTAAAAATAAGTGAAATTCATTTCATAAAAATTGGATACTTAGTTACAATATTTTAATCTTTTTATCCAATAAATTATTAATATTATTAAATTTTCTTAACAAACTAATAAAATTAATTAATAAAAATTATTTTTAAATATATACCATCACTTTTATCATTGAAATTCATGCAAATCACATTCAAATTAATTAAGACTAAATTAATATAGGTTTAGTTCAAATGAAGTAAGATTTGGGCTAAAATTAATCAATACAATAAATTATCTTAAATTTTAAATTGCATGAGAGTTGATCATATTAATCTATTCAACACATGGATTAATAAATTAGAACATATGATCTAATGGCTCAAAATTAAGCCCTCTCCCAGCTGTCCCATGCATTAAATCCCTTAATTAATCATTGCCAAATTCACTTACTCCATATTTGAAAACTATGTGGCTGAAGATTGCTTATGCTTGAAATTATTTTAATTTTGAAAATTTTCTATTAGCTATTGACATTTCCCTTGGATTGCACCATAATCTAATGGCTACAAATTAAATCAAATATTTTGCATCAGCTTTTTTTATCTCTTGACCGAATTTTTTACAACATTCAAATTCAAATTCAAATTATTATGATCGAAAATTGCATGGCTTCTTCCTATTTTACCTTGGCCAGCCAGATGCTTTTTTGGAGGCTGATTTAATTTTTTTCAAATATCTTTTCAATTTAAATTATTGTCTAAAATGTTTCCCCCCAACTTTCTCATGCCTTGGCATAAATTCTCTTTATAAATAAGAGAGATAGGCTTAGTATTTTTTTTTTACTTCTTTCTCTCAAATAATAAAACTCTGCCAAAATTTTTCCTCAAAGTGTTAGATCACTTTTCTTGCCTTGGTTGTGGGGTTTCAAGGTCTCTCATGCTTGCTAAAGTGTCTTCCTTGCTCTCTCTCTTCTCCATACTTCAAAAAGACAATTTGGTGAGTTCTTTCCAATTGTAGTGTTTTAATTTTTTTAATCTTGTGCAAGATTGTAAAGTCATTTTATCTTGGATTAAAATTATTAACTTCTTTGTCACTATAAACTTAGGTTAAAGAAACTTAGATTTTAGTTTGTAGAAAACTTATTGAAATTAATGTTATCAAAAGAATTTATTCAAAAGAACCACTTCAAAATTATATTTGATTTTCATATAAATTTCAGCCAAATAGAAAAATTAGGAGATTTAGTTACTATTAGCTCAACTAAGCAAACACAACAGAGAGAATTATAATTTGAATCCAAAATAAAAATACTTCATAATCTTGCATAAGATTGAAAGAATTAAAATACTACAATTGAAAAGAACTCACCAAATTGTCTTCTTGAAGTATGAATAAGAGTGAAAGAATAACAAAGATGCTTAAATAAGCATGAGAGACCTCCACAGTCAAGGCAAGAAAATGATCTAGCATTTTGAGAAAAAAAATTCGGCAAAATTTCGCTATTGTGAGAGCAAGAGACCAGAAAAATACTTAGCTTACCTCTTTTATTTATAAAGAGAATTTCAATCAAGGCATGGGAAAATTGGAGAGAAATATTTTAGGCAATAATTTGAACTTAGAAAGAGATTTAGAATAAATTAAATCATTCTCCAAAAAATATATATGCTGACCAAGGTAAAATAAGAAAGAGCCATGCAATTTTTGGACACCATAATTTGAATTTGAATTTGAACTTGAATTTAAATGTTAAAAAAATGGCCAAGAGAGGGAAAGGGCTAATGCACAATATTTGATTTAATTTGTAGCCATTAAAATAGGGTGCAATCCAAGGGAAATATCAATTCACAATTTTGCTCTCAAACTCCAATTTTGACTTTTGATCAATTGTATGTTCAACTTCATTAGCATAACATGATCTATTGTAACACGTGTTCAAATTCAAAATCATTAAATATAGACTTATTTTCTGCATCAAAAATATCCCCTAATGATTATTCATTATCTATATTTTTTTCTTTTGGATAAATTTTAAGTGTATATAGATCTTATGTTGTTGTTTATGCAAAAAGTTTCAAAGAATATGGAATTATTTTTTCTTTAAGGACGTGAATCAAAAGTGGGCTAGCCAGACTATAATGATTTAAATACTCGATAACCAAAGCTATGAATAAATTCTCAAGATTTTTTATATTCATCGCTAATTTCTTGCTTAAGAACTTTAGTTAAACAAGTGATAATAACAATAATTTAAACTTCAAAGACAAATAATGTTTAGTTACCATACCTATAAGCCTTACCTAATACTCAAGCACATTATATTTATCTTATTTACAATCTTTAATTTGATCATAAAGTTGATCCCTATATTCACTGAAGGGAAAATATTCCTTCTTAAATTTATAATTCATTTAGACCAACGATGACTTAGAATGTCCTACTAATTTTGATTTAGCAAATTTAATTCTTTAGAAATCTAGCAGGTTGTACTTTTCAAAGAAATCTTCTAAATTATTTATTCACCTTGAAAATTTTATAAAAACGCATCTCCAATAATACTTTTAAATCTTATGATCATCATATTGTGGTCGTTTAGAACCAAGTTTATAATATTTCATTTAAATTGTGCATCTTTTGCTATTTATTTATTTACCAAATTAATTTATGCATTTAGTTAAGATATGATGCAAATCATGCAAACATAAGCTTGATAACAATTTGATGCAAGATGATCTAGGTTTACCATTTCCTAATGCAACCATAATGATTCAACATATATACATCAAGCCAGGGAACTTAGGATTTACATATCATTGGTCTCTATACATGCAAAAGCTTATGTCTTTTAATGCAAACTGGCAAATACAAGAATTATAGCCAAATGATAATCCAATGATCAAATAAATCAAAGAAGTTTTTTAACATGAAAAATCAATAGGCAATTATAATTTAGTCACTACAATTAGAATCCCAATTATGTCAAATTTGAAAAAATAAACAAAACTAACAAGACAATCAAAACATTAAGTAGAGGAAATTAAATGAAGCAAAGAATTTACCAAAATAAGAAAGCCAAGTCTCACGTTGTTAAAAAAGATGACTTCCCCTGAAATCATGTAAATTCAGAACTACACTCAAAGGAATCACAAACCCTAAACTTAAAAAAACAAGATTGAAAACAAGAAAAATAATTTTTTATTCAATGAAAATAATTCAATTAAATGCCTCATATTATCTATGTATAAACTCCTAAGACCTAACTAAAAGTATAAGGTTGGCACAAGATCAACTCAATTTATTTCTTGATAGCAATCAAATTCAAACATGAATATATGCAAAGCCATATTTTACAGAAATAGAAATAGAAATAGAAGCCCCAAACTAAATAACTGCAATTTGAATAGACACAAAGGTGAACTGAATAACATAATCCCAAATAGCTAAAATAGCTGGCTCCTGAAGTAGCTAAATACTCCAAATTGAAAGCACAACCATAGGACATAAAAACACAAGCGCAATAGAGGAATCAAGCCACGAATGAAGATTCTATAGTCTCACCGAAAGAATCACAAGAATAGGCACTCTAAGTACATTCATGCATCAATATATGTTTAATAAATTAAAATATTTCTTTCTACTACTAATCAAGAAAAAAATTAATCACTTTCTTTACCCTCTTAGATCCCTCAATAAAAGAGGAAAAACTCTACATCACTTCTTTTTTATTCTCTTTTTGACAAATCCTTGTCTCTTCCCTCAAAACCTAATCAGACAGCTGCTGATAAAGAAAAGCAAGCACTCTTCCAAATTCTTCTTTCTTTTATCACTAGCACCCAATCAAGATTCCATGGGAGTTTCTTGGAAGAGCTGATCCATATCAATTGGCATATGACCATATACAGGTATAACTAAATCAGAATTTTTTTTTTCTCCCTACATCGACTGTCATAACAAACAATTCCCACATTGATACAATAATTCAAAGGCTACTTTTCTCCAGCTCGAAATAAATCCACTCAAAGACATCACCTCGTTGGAATTTCATACATATGAAAAAAGTAATTAAGCTCTATTACTGTCTCCCGAGAATAAGAGAAATCAACCAACACAACATTCTCATAGCATCTATGATGACTTCTAAATTCCAATCAAGCTATAGCATACGGATGCTTTAAAGAAGAAAACATCAGCAAACTATGTTTAAATCACAATAATCTTAATAGCAAGATCAAAATTGAGTATCTACAACCAAAATTATTCATTATACGAAAAACAATTTATTTCTCTTGATTAGTGTTTTTTTTTTTCCTCTGCGGCATCTTGCTAATCAATCGTGAAGAGAGCTTGGTCCTCTACCATGTGAATCCAGAGGAAAAATAAATTAGATGAGTAAGCTTACGGAATCGCATTACCAAGTAGCAAGCAACCAGTTAAGAAAACTAGTGAAAATGTTCACATTCAAGTCCTCTGATAACCAAGACACACAGAATCTCACATATGATCTTGCTAGTAGCAGCGACAACAACATGAAGTCAAGCAAACATCATAATAATACAGTAGGGCACCTTAAAAGTTAAACCAAATACTAAACACAACAGGAAGGAAAGGAGAGGTCGTCGAATAGCTCACAGTGCTATAAGTAATAGCAAGGCCAAAGCTGGAGCACCTATTTCTTGAAGCTTCCCCGAACACCTGGGCGGGCCTTGGAGGTCTCGACAGCGCTGGAGGCATGCAGATCGGTGAGCTTTGATTCTTCGAAAGGGATCTTCGGGTGGCGGGCTTCGTGATGGATCTGCATCGACTTCAAGTCGGGAGCAGTTACCTTGCAGAGGGGGCACTCGAACTTAGCATGCCCACCCTTTTCCTGCCCCGACCGGTCTGCAAGCCCCGCCTTACCCCCGCCACGGTTCGTCGTCGCCGCGTCAACCTTTGCTGCAATTTCCTTCGCCGTGTGCTTCTTCGGTTTCGCCTTTCCCGTCATCTTCTTCTTCTTCTTCCTCCCCCGCTCCCCCTCCTTACCCTCCCACAAACCCAAATCCTAATTTCTCCTCCCTTATGCTCTCTTCCGGCTGTCCACCGCCGCTGCTGCTGCTGCAGGCGCGGGTGCGGCGAAGGAAGAATTGCCCAATCAATGAATTGATCTCCGGATGGCGTGTTGATAGGAAAGGTGGGAGACGGACGACAAGGGAAAGATAAAGCGGATCGCTTTCAAGACGGCTAGGGTAAGAAAACCGAGGAGGAATTAGTGAGGCAATCAACAACGAGTTTGTACGACACGAATCTCGATGCGGAATCCAATACAACACGAATCTTGATCCGGTATCCAACAACACCATGAAGACGTTGATTTTTAGCTACGATGTAGCACTAGGAAATTTTGCAAGGTTTAAATTTTGAAATTTTAAGTATAATTGGAATTAAATTAAAGTAAATTTTATAAATTATTTGAAATTTAAAGAATTGATATAAATATGAGATTTTATTATACTTATTTGATTTATAGTTATATACTATCATAGAATTATATATTTATTAATTTAACACTTATTTTTTAAAACTATTTTTATTATTTATTTTTCTTACTCATTAGTATATATGCCCTTTTGATGATAGATTTTAACAAATATAAGTTAATGATTTTAATCTAAAGTTTAAAAAATGTTAATGTCATACATTTTAATTCACTTATATTATTCCGGCAAAAATAGTAAAGTTAAATTTACATTTCGCCACTTGTTAGTGTACATTTACTGTTTTTAAAATATTCTCAACATTTCATAAAGGCTTTGGACGCGAAGGCATGAATATTTCTTAGTGTATATTTGCGATTTTAAAAATATTATCAACATTTCATAAAGACTTTAGAGTAGCATTAGCAATTTTAAAAGAAAAATTAAAGTTTTAACATAAAAAGATTAATTAAATATGAGAAATAAAAGATGATAATCCAATTGTTTAATTTTAGTTACATAATTTTATGTTTATCAAATTCATAAATTACATATGTTCAATCATTTTTTCAAGTATGGAATATTTAAATTTGATTATAAATAAAATTTTAAATTCTAGAATCAAAAAGAAGAAATGATTTTGGATTATAGAAATCTTTTCAACATTGGCCGTCCAATCAAAACACTCTCAATTTATCCTTGATTTTCCTCATAATTATTGGTCATGACACTCTCAGAAAATTATAAATAGACCTCTCATTTCTCATGAGGGGAGAGCTAGGAAAGAAGAGGAAGAAGAGAATAAAGAGAGCTCTCTTGTCACCAAACTCCTCCTCGATCACTATCGGATTTCCACCTGGCCACTGACCGATGCCGAACTTTTTCATGGCTGCCAAGTGACGCCGAAAGAAAAATTTGGACTATATGTTGAACTTATTCAAAATGCAATACATTATAAAAACTATATTATAATTTATTTAAAAAAAAATTAGTTAGAACAACAAATATTCTCCCACTATCTAAATATTCCATTATTACTATATTAAGAAACAAAATGTATGAATCATAATGATAAATCCTCTAATAGAAAGTATTATCTCACATGCATCATAGTGAGCTTTTGCATCATAATAAATATGGTCCACATAACTTTATTTCATGTCTAACTTTAGTGATTCATATGTCCTATGTGTTAACATTATTAAGTAACATTTATTGATTTGGAATTCAAATTAGATTTATTTTGGAAAGCTTTGATGTCCAATTAATATAGGAGATGATTATTTATCTAAATAAGTGATTTGATTGAGGATTATTTTAGGAAGCTTTTTATTTATTTGTGTGCCCCAAATCTATGAATAGGGAGTTTTGAGGGATGTTATTTGCAAGAGAGAGCAATTAAAATCTTTCTTCTCCTCCAATATAGTGAATTCATCATCCCCTCCTCGTGTACGTAGCCATTTTCATAGAACCACATAAATCAATGTGTTTTTTATGTTGTTTGTTGTATGATTTTATGATTTATTTTATTTCCACTGTGTCTATTGCACAACAATTGGTAATAGAGCCAGATTTTGGTGGGATTTCCATAACGGGAGATCAATAAGTTCTTTCTATTTGTATGGTTCGTCTAGGAGAAGGAAGACAGCCGGATTAGTGTAATTCTCACTACATGAGATAGCTGCAATTTTTTGGAGGCTATGAGATCTGGTGGAGCAATGGATACATCCATCTCGACGGTGGATAAGGCGTTGAACCATCAAGTGGCTACACATCTTGTCAAAATTGATGTGACAAAATTTGATGGCAAAGAAAACTTTGGCATGTAATGTGGGCTCTGAAAATTAATGCCCAAGAACACCGTTAAAACTCTCCTGCAAAAAAAGGGAAGGTCAGGGCGTGAATTTTTAGAGCTCGCAGATTTCTGAAAACTCCACTGATGATATATTTCTCTTTCCATTATTGGCTAGTTGCATATGAGCTATAGTAGCAACTCAAATATAGTAAACTGAAATATACAATTAATAAATTGTAGAATGTAATGAATTTCTTGTACATCTCAAAGTATGGTTCTAAATTATTCTATTAGATAGAATCTGTTGATCTACTTGTGTTATTTTGTTTTGTTGAGTCTCTATAAAATGTGGGGTAATATATCAAATTTTTATCACTGATCCTCATCTTTTATTTGTGCATAATGGATCCTCAAAACACACATTTTACTATAAAGCTAGGGCATGGAGCAAACATCCACCTAACCAATGATATAATTAATGTTGGAAAAACTTAAGCTACCATCCACTTTGGTGGTTTTGAAATCCCCACTGCTTCTACTATTGCTACTGCTGTACATGTTCAAGGAATGTCTATTAATTTCATACATAAAGGCCTAATCCTACTCAAGCATCAACACGATGTGCCAATCTGCCTTTGTCGCAAGTACAATCTATTGGATTTGTTTCAACTGAAGAGGTCTCTAGGAAGAGGACCTCTGTCTTTGAAAGGCTATCCCATCATGAAGCCCTGATTATGAAGAGGGTTGTTATTGGAGAAAAAATTTCTCTGACACCTATGTCATCTTCTACGTGGCCAACTGGGCCATTTGCACCTGGAAGACATGATGGTGAATCTTCCTCATCATGAGTTAAACTATCCATGAGGTAAATTAGAAAAAGAAATGCAGTGTTGTGAGCATAAATTTTACTGGCAAAATAACCAATTGTACCTTCAAATCCAAAGCTAGAAATGAATATTCCTACATATAACAAGTTTGCAAACTTAAAATGGGTGAAGAGGAATAATTCCACTTGTGATGTTAAACAATCATTTTGGGCTCAATAACATCAAACTACTATTTATTGAGATAAATAACATGAAACCTTGTCAGTAAGAGTGCATAAGGTTCTGAAAGCTTTGAAAGAGAAAGGTTTAATGAAGAAGAAGTATGAGCGATATGTTGTGATGAAAGCCAAGAAAAATATGCCTAGAAAGTTATTCTCTGTGATAGTAGCACAATACAGAACAAAAAAAGTTTTGCAAGGTGAGCATCATAGTGTGACACTTAGAAATCAAGTCTGAGAATCCACTATCGAAAGGTCCCTGTTAAAAGGTAAACAAATATGGAGGCCAAAGTCTCATGAAGAAAAGTCCAAATGTGCGACATCTAGAGTATATTCCCATATATTAACTAATAGAAAAATCTGACAAGAGTGGATTGCAATGAAGCATATTTTTGCTGATGATTCATGATGGCCAACACTTTGGAGAATCCTCCAAGGGATCCCATCACAATCCAACCACAACTTCAGAGGAGGAGAAGGTGATCAATTATGATCCTCTAATTGAAAGTTTGTTGATGCCCATGTGAAACAAGAATTTCATTGGAGGTGTTGCTAAAAAATTCATGTAAAATAAGATGATAAAGAAGAACCATGATAAAGAAGAAGATGAAATAATGGGTATTAAAGATGTATAGTAAGGCATACTAGTGGACAATCAAGTTCACAAGGTTATCAACAAGGAACTTTAACTACAATTCCTCTTGATATTGTGCAATAATAAGAAGGAGAAAATGAAGAAAGATTGTTTCTTATCTTGGAAAGTGAAAAAGAAGAAGAAGAAGAAGAAGAAGAAGAAGAAGAGAAAAAATACCCTATTCTAATTAATGTTGTTGCTCTAACTCGAACACAAAGAGACATGCAATGGGAAATGAAAAAAGAAATATAGAGAATTCTCTCAGCTCAATATCAAGATAAATGAAATGATGAATCAAATGAATATGATGATGCAACTACTGCAAAAAGATGTTGTAAATCTTGTACTGGTTTAAGCTTCTAATCAACAAGAATCTAGTATTGGGCCAATCAATCCACCAGTTAGCTTAATGCCACAAGCATCTGGAGTATAAGATGTTCCAAAAAAAAAAGAACTAAAATAAATTTAGTACCTTTTCATTCCACTCAATCTAATCTAAGTTCATATGAACTAGTGACAGTTGATAAACTTGAGAGACTTATTAGTGAAAAAATTAAGGCCGTTATCACACCTAAATAAGAAGAAAATTTAGTAAGCAAAGGGCGCCCATATCTTGCTGAGTACGATCAGGTGACATATTCTATGTGATATTTAGTGCCAAAATTTAATACTTTCAATGGTAATGGAAATTCAAAATAACACCTAACTCAATTTAATGCAACTTGTGGGAAAATTGGAGGTGTAGATGATTCACTCTTCCCTCAATTTGTTTGTAGTTTAACTTCAACCGCTTTTAAATCATATATAAAACTACATAATGATTATGTCAAAACTTTTGTTGAATTGGAGATAATGTTTATGAAAAGGTTTGCTAGTGCTGTGAAAAAGACTACTATGTTGACCTCATTTAAAAAAAAAAAGACTCACTAATGAAGTATATCACTCGTTGGAGAAAATTGAGTATGAAATGTGAACAAAAATTAGAAGAAGATCATGCAAATCAATTATTAATAGGTAACATTGATGATAAGATGGTACCCTATCTTTGCATGGCTTCAATTTTCACATTTCAAGAGTTGCTAGATCGGGTAGAAAAATTTGAAAAGCTAAATCTTTCTAAATCTAAAATTTATATGGATATATCCAAAAGAAATAAGGCTCCAATGCAAGAAAAGGTGAAGCTCGTGCCTCTTATAATATTAATAAAAGAAAGTAATCAATAATACAGAAGACAAAGATAAAGAAAG